GTGCACGGCTGTACTTGCACTGTCACCCTCACCTCGCCCCAGTCCCCCACCAACGCCCCCTCCCTCCCCCACCCATCTGCACAATGTCACTGCAGCGCCCCGCGGCAACACACATAATGACCCAGCAGCAGCAGCAGCCAGGTGGACACCAGGAGGCTTGTGGCCCGTCTGCCCACCAGCCTGGGAAGCCCACCAACCTGTCTGTGGTGTCTTTCTCCCTGTCTGTCTACTTATTTGCTGTGTCTGTAACTGAGGTGTCTGTCTTCTTGTCTGTGGTGCCTATCTCCCTCCCAGTGGAACCGTCTTTAGGAACTCGACAGACAGCCACCTTCTCGTGGTGAGTTCTGGGAATTTTGAATGTCTGTAAGTATACATATATGAATGTCTGTAGGTATACTTATATGAATGAAGGAGTATACATTATCAGTGTCTTGACAGAATATGCCTATATAGGATCAAATCTTATTAAATCTCATTCCACAGACGCTGAGGGATCCTGAATGATTATAGTGCTCAAAGAGATAATAATAATGTGCTATCTGTCACGCTATTTGTGTCTCCCAGTCTGTGGTAACTGTCTCCCAGTCTGTGGTAACTGTCTCCCAGTCTGTGGTAACTGTCTCCCAGTCTGTGGTAACTGTCTCCCAGTCTGTGGTAACTGTCTCCCAGTCTGTGGTAACTGTCTCCCAGTTTGTGGTGACTGTCTCCCAGTCTGTGGTAACTGTCTCCCAGTTTGTGGTAACTGTCTCCCAGTTTGTGGTGACTGTCTCCCAGTCTGTGGTAACTGTCTCCCAGTCTGTGGTAACTCTCCCAGTTTGTGGTAACTGTCTCCCAGTTTGTGGTGACTGTCTCCCAGTTTGTGGTAACTGTCTCCCAGTTTGTGGTGACTGTCTCCCAGTTTGTGGTAACTGTCTCCCAGTTTGTGGTAACTATCTCCCAGTTTGTGGTGACTGTCTCCCAGTTTGTGGTGACTGTCTCCCAGTCTGTGGTAACTGTCTCCCAGTTTGTGGTAACTGTCTCCCAGTTTGTGGTGACTGTCTCCCAGTTTGTGGTAACTGTCTCCCAGTTTGTGGTAACTGTCTCCCAGTTTGTGGTGACTGTCTCCCAGTTTGTGGTGACTGTCTCCCAGTTTGTAGTGACTGTCTCCCAGTCTGTGGTGACTGTCTCCCAGTTTGTGGTGACTGTCTCCCAGTCTCTGGTGACTGTCTCCCAGTATGTGGTAACTGTCTCCCAGTTTGTGGTGACTGTCTCCCAGTTTGTGGTGACTGTCTCCCAGTTTGTGGTGACTGTCTCCCAGTCTGTGGTAACTGTCTCCCAGTTTGTGGTGACTGTCTCCCAGTCTGTGGTAACTGTCTCCCAGTTTGTGGTGACTGTCTCCCAGTTTGTGGTAACTGTCTCCCAGTCTGTGGTAACTGTCTCCCAGTCTGTGGTAACTGTCTCGCAGTTTGTGGTGACTGTCTCCCAGTTTGTGGTAACTGTCTCCCAGTCTGTGGTAACTGTCTCCCAGTCTGTGGTAACTGTCTCCCAGTTTGTGGTAACTGTCTCCTAGTTTGTGGTGACTGTCTACCAGTTTGTGGTAACTGTCTCCCAGTTTGTGGTAACTATCTCCCAGTTTGTGGTGACTGTCTCCCAGTTTGTGGTGACTGTCTCCCAGTCTGTGGTAACTGTCTCCCAGTTTGTGGTAACTGTCTCCCAGTTTGTGGTGACTGTCTCCCAGTTTGTGGTGACTGTCTCCCAGTTTGTGGTAACTGTCTCCCAGTCTGTGGTAACTGTCTCCCAGTCTGTGCTAACTGTCTCCCAGTCTGTGGTAACTGTCTCCCAGTCTGTGCTAACTGTCTCCCAGTCTGTGGTAACTGTCTCCAAGTCTGTGGTAACTGTCTCCCAGTCTGTGGTAACTGACTCCCAGTCTGTGGTAACTGTCTCCCAGTCTGTGGTAACTGTCTCCCAGTCTGTGGTAACTGTCTCCCACTCTGTGGTAACTGTCTCCCAGTCTGTGGTAACTGTGTCCCAGTCTGTGCTAACTGTCTCCCAGTCTGTGGTAACTGTCTCCAAGTCTGTGGTAACTGTCTCCCAGTCTGTGGTAACTGACTCCCAGTCTGTGGTAACTGTCTCCCAGTCTGTGGTATCTGTCTCCCAGTCTGTGGTAACTGTCTCCCACTCTGTGGTAACTGTCTCCCAGTCTGTGGTAACTGTGTCCCAGTCTGTGGTAACTGACTCCCAGTCTGTGGTGACTGTCTCCCAGTCTGTGGTAACTGTCTCCCAGTCTGTGGTAACTGTCTCCCAGTCTGTGGTAACTGTCTCCCAGTCTGTGGTGACCGTCTTCCAGTTTGTAGTAACTGACTCCCAGTCTGTGGTGACTGTCTCCCAGTCTGTGGTAACTGTCTCCCAGTCTGTGGTAACTGTCTCCCAGTCTGTGGGTAACTGTCTACCCAGTCTGTGGTGACTGTCTCCCAGTCTGTGGTAACTGTCTCCCAGTCTGTGGTGGCTGTCTCCCAGTCTGTGGTAACTGTCTCCCAGTCTGTGGTGACTGTCTCCCAGTCTGTAGTAACTGTCTCCCAGTCTGTGGTAACTGTCTCCCAGTATGTGGTAACTGTCTCCCAGTCTGTGGTAACTGTCTCCCAGTCTGTGGTAACTGTCTCCCAGTCTGTGGTAACTGTCTCCCAGTCTGTGGTAACTGTCTCCCAGTCTGTGGTGACTGTCTCCCAGTCTGTGGTGACTGTCTCCCAGTCTGTGGTGACTGTCTTCCAGTTTGTAGTAACTGTCTCCCAGTCTGTGGTGACTATCTCCCAGTATGTGGTGACTGTCTCTCAGTCTGTGGTAACTGTCTCCCAGTCTGTGGTAACTGTCTCCCAGTCTGTGGTAACTGTCTCCCAGTCTGTGGTAACTGTCTCCCAGTCTGTGGTAACTGTCTCCCAGTCTGTGGTGACTGTCTCCCAGTCTGTGGTGACTGTCTCCCAGTCTGTGGTGACTGTCTTCCAGTTTGTAGTAACTGTCTCCCAGTCTGTGGTGACTATCTCCCAGTATGTGGTGACTGTCTCTCAGTCTGTGGTAACTGTCTCCCAGTCTGTGGTAACTGTCTCCCAGTCTGTGGTAACTGTCTCCCAGTCTGTGGTAACTGTCTCACAGTCTGTGGTGACTGTCTCCCAGTTTGTAGTAACTGTCTCCCAGTCTGTGGTGACTGTCTCCCAGTCTGTGGTGACTGTCTCCCAGTCTGTGGTGACTGTCTCTTTCAGCGAGGTATGCCTCTCCCAGTTAAAAGGTTCTTGTTTATAGTCTACCTACTAAGGAATCCAGTTAGACTTAACCATCTTATCTTTTATCTGCGGATAACATCTACCATTGGAGTTTACCATCCTGAATTTTACCATCCTGAAGTTTACCATCCTGAAGTTTTCCATCCTGAAGCTTACCATCCTGAAGTTTACCATCCTGAAGCTTACCATCCTGAAGTTTACCATCCTGAAGCTTACCATCCTGAAGTTTACCATCCTGAAGTTTACCATCCTGAAGCTTACCATCCTGAAGTTTACCACCCTGAAGAGTCGTATTTCCGAGGGAGTACGTCTGGTTCACAATATCTCGGAGAAGGAAAAAAATCTAATGGTTGCAGTCATAACATGGGGTGGACCATGTTATGACTGCATGGAGGTGGACCAGTAAGCCAGTGGAAGGCCTCGGTCAAATGACCAAAACCTCCAGGTGCGGGTCATCATATGATTAAGACCCGCGTCAGGAAACAATTGTCCTGTTTCCTGACAAACCTTTTCCTAACCTTACCTATCTTGGAAATCTTCATGAATGGGAAATGTGTAGGCGAGTACGAATAAGAAGCCCCCACCGCGTCCTGCGCTGAATGACCCATATAGGTTTAGTGCTTAGCATAAATGCATTATTATGTGCATTATCAAGTGTCACCCATTTCTGCACAAACAATACATCATGTGGAAATAAAATTTAAATTGATTTATTTACAGCTACGGTGGTGATCACTCTAGAAAAAGCATACCACGGGCGGGGTAGAACCCGCGGTCAGAGTCATAAATTCGCGAGTTCTATCCCCACCCATGGTATGATTTGTTTGCAATCGTGTCATTACGATTTCGTGAGTCGTGATCACTCTACCTGGAGACTTTACCGGCATGACGACCTTCTACCTTCATTACTTGCAGTGTGAGTTTACATTCCTGGGAGTCTAAATATATAAGAAGCCACTTTTTTCCCCGCCAGGAGGACCGGTATGCATCAGGAAAGCCATTACCTGTCTGAGTAGTGATTTCCTAGCGAGTGCATAGAAATATACTTGAAATGCGCAGCGATATAAGAGTAATATAGAGTCTACTGAAGGACAGACAAGGAGGCTTCAGACACTGTAGTGAGAAGACAACAAAAATAGGTAAAGACGAGCGTTGTAGACAGAATTTTCTGTGCAACAAAACTCAGTACAGTGTTTATAAACATCAACATTAACACGAGGAGATGAACACTGGATTGAGAGAAAAGTGTTTCTGATATCGTAATTAATGACACCATCTTACAACGAACGAACTAAGATGTCATTATATACACAATGAGTTCAGATCAGGCCCATTGTGCTCTACAACCTAGAGAATGACGAGATAGTGACCCAGGGTTACGAAAATGATCAGATGGAGACCAAGAATTATTAAAATGACCAGATAGAGACAGAGGATTATCAAAATGGGCTTTCCACAGCCAGAATATTGGACACTTGAGACAGAATTTAACATATGACTTCAATATATTAAACCTGTGTTAATTCAACTGGAGATGGAAAAATAATTTATAAAGAACATTTATATTTTAATGAGAAAAAAAGTAATTTCTTGAAAATACCTGAAAATTATTTTTAAACTATTGCATAAAATCAACGTTTTCTTAATATAATATAATGAGATATTGTGCAATTTTTTCCCTCAAATGCCGATTCCAGATTGAATTTGATAGAAAAGAACAATCAGACCATAAAAAAGGGGAAACAC